GTGCTATATAAATGATGTTTATTATTATTATTATTATTATTATTATACATTGTATCTGAAGCTTTCAGTGATCCATTTGTGTTTGTTTGGCAACCTATTTAAGATTGTAATAAAATCTTCTAAACCAGCAGAGGGAGCTTTCCCCGATGCATTTCCTGTACTAGGAAGTAAATATTCTTACTGAGTGTTCACTGATATAGGTATAAATATTACTAGGTACACCCCAAATCCTACAAGGAGCCCTGTAGTAATTTTACCTTATTTAGTTTTTGTTGAGGCTGTGTGCAGAGGTATCGAGTCAATTCTACAACATCTATTCCCATTTTAGAATGGGAATAGATGTAATATGTGGTGGAAAAGCATTTTAAATAAGAGGTTCTCTTTTTTTCTTTTTCAAGGCTTTTAATATTGTTGATTAGTTAATAATTTTGGATTGGCTTGGTTGTGGTGAGCTTGCTAAAAGATGGTTGTTGCCTATTATGTAAACCAGGCTGCTGTTATTAAATCTACCCAACCCAAAGGGGTTCCTCCTGGCTCTGTAATGGGTCCTCTGTTATTGCCGGCATACAGTATATTAATGATGTAATTTTCCAGTACAAATACATGTAAATGATATCATGTTGTGGACATGACAACATGCTCTTTATGTTCTTTAATTATTTTGCATGAATCTTTATTTTAAATTTTAATTAGACACAAACACATACTGAATTCTTCCTATGCAGCCATATGACAGTCTTCCAAATGAGATTAGCTCAAACTTAAAAATAAAAGGTTTTTGTTTGTTTTTTTGTTTTGGAAAGCAGGAAAGCATTATACAGCTGACTGGTACAGTATATATTTGATTTAATGAAAATAGGCAGTACTCTCATATTGCCCATCAACATTCATTAGGGTGAGAGCAATAGCAATGATGACGAGTGGCCTGTTTAACAGACACAGAAAAGTTTTTTTTTAATTGAACCTTTCTTAATATTTTACCTTTTTTTCTGAAAGCTTTCACAATAACCCAGACTTTTTTTCAACTTTACAAGCAGATGAATATGTACTAGTTCACAGAGATGGCCAGGCCTCAGATATTCACCTTGTTAACAGAACTAATTACACAGGCTTTGAAAGTAGATCAATACGTTATATCATGTTGGTTGATTTGTCAGTGTTGATTGCAGCTTGTTTAATCAAACTTATGGTTGTTCCTGAATGCTACCACTGTACTCTAGTTGAATATCATCTTTCATTCTCAGGTTTCAGTGAGACTGCAATACCTCAGTAAATACATGTTTGAACTGAAATATTTACTCAGCTCTGCTGCTGTTCACCAAGTTCACAGAACCATGACTTATTAAATAAAGGTCAGGACCACAGGCATGACCAAATATGAAAGGCCTCCTTATGTAACAGTGTTTACCTTGCAAATTCATAAAAGCCACTTGATGTGGTGAGCTATCAGCTATATTTTTGCAGTTATGGAATATTTTGGAAAATGATTATGCACCAGTTTTAAAACATCTAAACAAGCACAATTTTCAGTTTATGAAGTCCCTCTAGGTTCTTTACATTTATTATTGTAGCAGTGGGTCTTCTTCTCCACTGCAGTTGTGCCATTTAACATGAATGAAGAGAAAAGAGGATTTATGAGCTCCTCCCACAGTCATACTAGCATGCTAGCTCTAGTCCTTAGCTAAACACACAAGAGCTGTAATAGGCTCTAAGAAAAAGACGGGAAAGAAGGTGTTGTTTGACAAATAGGGCCATTTCCTTGTGGTTTGCTTTTCCATACAGAGAACAGTAAAAATGTCAACCTGTGGTTGAATGGCAGCCATTAAATGGAGTCTTGTTTGTGAAGTTTAATTGAAGAGCTGCTTTGATGAAATAGCTGGTTCCCAAACACAAATTCCATCTCATTTATTTTTCAGTGCTGATGAAATTTTAATTGCACATTAATAACGCTTGACTTAGTGTTAGAGAGAGAAGGTGAGATCCAGAGTATCTATAGTGTCAGACGTCACCTCGTCCTAGACCTTTTGGAGTTATAACCTCCCCAAAAATACACATAGGCACCAGCACTCTTTGTCTCGGACAAGCTATTTTTCATGTCAAATCAGTGAAGGGCACAATGTGCGCAACACTTGATTGTCTGTCTTTCTACTTGGGGGTGTTGAGTTGTTACTGGATAGTTTTTAGACCCACTTCAGTCTGCATGGGTCTATCATTAAATTATTTAGCATAACAATATGCACTCAGAATAACAGGAAAACCTGCAGGTAATCATTTCATCAATAAAAGATAAGTTCTTGCTGATACACAACACTATTTGCTGAATGCGTTGTCATTTTTACAGTGGCTGGCACAGTAGAACAAAAGGGTAAGTGGGTTGTCAATAAAACCAGCCAATGTAAAACTGTATGTCTCAGCATGCTCCTGGTGCTCACATCTCCCTGAGGTGCAGTCTTGTCAGAGAGGGATTGCCCTACAAATCACACTCCCAGGGTTTTGATATTACAACAGTCATTGTTGTAAACTCTGAAACAGCCTTTCTGTAGTAGGAGCGCTAGCATCATAACATAAACATAGTACT